TCGTGGAGTGCATCTCCCAGCTGGAGTCTTTGCAGACAAAAATACTTAATCCCTATATCTGGACTGATAGCCAGCCATATGCACTATACTGCCAAACCAGTTATTAAAAAATTGAGACACTTTCTTACACCTTACACCAAATAGCTGTTGCCATTAGCCTTAGGTCCTGCCTTTGCAGTTCACCCAGATTAGGCTCTGATTGGTCAGTTTCTATGCCAGTCAGCATCAAAAGCTCCGCCTCCTAGGCAGCCATTGGCTCCTTGCAGTTCACCGATTTGGTTCTGATTGGTCGGTTTCTATGCCAGTCAGCATCAAAAGCTCCATCTCCTAGGCAGCCATTGACTCTTCTGGGAATTCCAGCTGTCTCTCTCTATCTCTCTAGACCTATCTCCAGGCCTGATCTACAGCCTCCTCAGTGGCTGCGGATCAGGCCCTGCCTTTCTCTCCAGGCCTATCTCTGGGCCTGATCCATAGCCTCCGCAGCAGTTGCTGATCAGGACCTGCCTCTCTCTCCAGGCCTATATTCAGGCCTGATCCCCAGCTCACCCCCAACCGCCCCACCCACCCGCCGCCAGCCTTGCTGTGATAGAAGCCTGTGGACCACGGGGGAGGGACTGAGAGGTGCTCCATGCACTTCCTGGTGACCGGTCATCCATCTGGTCATTTAGGTCGTGACGGCCCTAGGCTATTATTAGTATAGATTATGGCAGCCTGGGTGTGCCCTGGTTGTTTTTGTTGTTGTTGTTAATCTTCACCTGAGGATATTTTTCCATTGCTTTTTAGAGAGAGTGGAAGGGAGTGGGAGAGACAGGGAGAGAAAAACATTGCTGTCAATTGGTTGCCTCCCACACATGCCCTTGACTAGAATTGAACCCAGGACCCTTCAGTCCACAGGCCAATGTTCTATCCACTGAGCTAAACTGGCCAGGGCTGGTGTGCCCTGAGAATCCCAGATTTGAGAACCCATATTGAAAAGACAGATATATCAATAGGTAATGGTTCATTTGCCTTTGTAAAGTGCTTTTTCCCCTTTACGAAGAAGTCACATCAGAGCTCTTGCAGTAGCATGACTACAATCCCCCAGCACAAAAATCTAGCTTTTCATAAAACTTTTCAAGAACCCATCTGTCCCATTCATTGGCATGTCTCTTTCAGGCTGCTCTGTCCATTCGGGACACTCAGGAGCTCCACAGTTTAAAGAAACTCTCTGCCTTGACATTTCATCACTTCATTGGTTGAGAATCTGTTTCCTAATCAATGTTGCTGGAAGGAATTCGGCCTTGACTGGGGTTGGGGGAGGAAATGAGAGATTACTAGCTGGGGACATGGAAGCTACTGCTCTCAGAAGAGGGAGGGGTGGGGAAGTCACTCACAGTCCTATCCAGACGTGGCTCGCCTCATATAAGAACATGCCAGCGAAGTTCAGAAGTTCTGCGATATAGGGTGTGAGGATTAAGAAAGATCTTCAATTCCATGCTGGTGTGAGACCAACCAAGAACCATTTTCACCTGCGCATGCATGCACACACACACACACACACACACACACACACACACACACACACACACTCCAATGGAGAGTCACATCACATGGTATACAGATGTGCTGCCTCCTCTTCCTCAGATAGACTCACCACATGTCTACAAAGGGTAACACAGAAAGGCACTTGTCTATGTAGACTCTCTCTCTCTCTCTTTCTCTCCCTACCCATGAAGTGCCCCACATATATAATCAGTAGCATTTAAATGAGTAAATAATTAGATAGGAATAGAATTTTTCTCTGATTGGGAAAGAAAAATGATACTTAAGTAATGAAAGGAGAGGAGTAGGGAGAAAAGGATGGGGAGGAGAAAGAGAATTTGTGCGAGTAGAAAGCCAGGGAGCTGCACAGCCAAAGTGCCCACAGGAGGTAGGTCAGTCTCCCTCCCCTTGGAGTACTCCAAGATGCCACCCGTGCCTCTTCCCAGCTGGGACTCTGTCTTCCCCCGCCCATTAGCACCTCCCCTGGAGGTACCGGCAGAGAAGCAGAACCCCTGTGACTCCCAAAGGGCTGGCCGACTGCTTAGCTCGGATAAGGGAGGAGCGGGGACTCAGAGGATGCTCTTCAGGCTACTTGGATAAATTAAGAAAAGTTAAATTGTTTGCCTCCGGACAGGCCTCTTCTCCCATTTCTGTTTGCTGTTGCTATAGTTATTGAGAAGTGGCTTGTAGACAACAAAAGGCTTTATTGAAGAGAGGAAAGAGCAGAGTTGACTCTCTCACTGCACTGCGCTCAGAACAGGAGCCCATCCCAGGGACCCGCAACTCACTTTTTTTTTTTTTTTTTCATTCTGATTCCTATGATGAGACCAGGCTGGAAAATGTAGAGAAATTTCTTTACGGTTAATGAAATATTTTTTTTTTATAAAAAGGAAAATTGATCCTTCATAACTAGCAACATTTTAGAAATGTACCTTCGGTAGGAGTAAGACAGAAAAACACCTTCCAATGGAAAAGCCCCAAATAAACACCAGAATTCAAATTTCTAAAAGATTTATAAGCAGTATAAGCAATACCCTGGGGGCGGAGAAAAGGGAAACATCCAAACATTGGATCGTTTTGTTTTTGTTGGCTGAGGTTTTGTTTTTGTTTGCGTGGGGTTTTTGAAGGGGGTGGGGGTGGGGAGAGGAATGCTTGAAAAGAAAAAAGCAAACCTGACAATTTATTTAAGAAGGGCACCGACTTGGCTTCAAAATCTAAGTTTTGCTGCCTCCAACCAAGTTGCACTCGGGGATGGCTCTAGGCTGTGCGAGGCTCCTTATTTTCCTGCGCAGAGCAAATGGCTCGTCTCATGTGCACAGAAAGGCTGGAAAATATTTTTTGTGATCTGAGTGCAGCGGAGTCTAGGATTCCAGAGGAAGTGGAGGCCTCCCGCTCCACACAGGAAACAATCTTCAAGCAGGCCTTAAATGCCAGATTCCAGGCCGAGTTTAACTAACCACTGACAGCTCTGTAAACAAAGCAAGGACAAAAAGAGCCCGCTTCCCCTTTTCTGGTAGTCATTTTGGGTTCGGGGGCTGCAGGGGAATTCTGGAATACTTGACTCCATGGCACAGAAGCGCAGGGGAAGCGGGCTCCGCAGCTGAAGAGCTGGAAAGGGAGGATCTTTCTGGGATTAAAACCATCACAGAGGAGGTAGGAGAGGATAAAACTGAGCGTTACCAGGAGCCGGGACTTTTAAGCTCTGGAAACAGCTTGATCCTAACGTAACCGCTTTTAAAAAATGCTGCTGCATTATGTTTATTCGTGGTACTATTGCTGCGGTCTTTATCATCATTCTGATGCTAATATTCTTTTAGGATATGCAAATTATGCCTGGGTAGACGTATGATTTTATTTGTCTTTTATTTTTCTCTTAGTTCCTACATGTTCCCTTTCTTGCCACTTTTCTGTGTTCCCTCTAGCTTTCTTTTCCTCTTTGTTCACTATTTCATAACTTTGGTCTGTGTGTGGCTCAGCAAGTCACAAAGAACAAAACCTTTCAGTGCCTCTTAAGTGGTCCCATCAATATTTCTAGTCTTCAAAACCTCTCTGACTCCTGAGGTCTTTTTTTTTTTTAAACTCTAATCCTGGAATCTTACTTATTTGCCTCAAATAGTTTCATGAATGAGACTGAATTTAACACAGAAAGGACTCAGCTCGGAGTCAGAAATTGATCCGTGGCTACAGGATCCGTCTTCTAAGGTGTTTTTCTTAAGAGTAAAGAAAAAATGAGGGAATGAAAAAACGGCGGGGGTGGCTAAAGCAATTCATGGGAGATAATAACTCCGACTCATCGATGATATTGATTCTACCTCCTCCTCTGTAGATCCAGACGTCATCTGGTCTCCCTAAACCTGAAACCACACCATGGATGATTTTGAACGTCGCAGGGAACTGAGGAGGCAAAAGCGGGAAGAGATACGCCTGGAAGCAGAAAGGTAAGGATCTGGGTTAAAAAATATTTTTGTATTGCGTTACTGACAATGTTGGTTTCAGGCCTCACAGATCATCACGCTGAAGGGCCAAGTGTGTAGCACACTAAAATGCCTGCAGCAGTAGTTATGGAAAGTTTTCCCGTTAGTGCTCCAAATTCTGCCTTAAAAAACAAACAAACATCAAGAAAAAGAGAGTCTGGAGAAGAACCAAATTATTGCATTTACTCAGTGCCTTTCAGAGTGGAATTTTTAAATGACAAAGGCAATGTGTGGAGAAAAGTTTCAGAAGCAGGTATACTGTTAAAATGACATAAAAATGACAAATACTGAATATTGAAAGCATTTAGGAAATGGGAGTCTTCGGTTTAAAAAAGCAAAGGCAGTAAATGCCAGCTGGGTCTTGTGGCACATTTTTATTCTTATTAGAAAAGCATGTAAATGCAGGAAACTGTGTATTATGGGCTCGCAGCCGGTGGGTATGTTACTGTGCAGATTTTGAGTCTAGTTGGAAGCTGCTACCTTGTGTGAGGACTCTGTTGTGATGACTTTAAGGGCAGGTTGGGGAAATGAAACAATGCCATGTGAAGTACGGAATACAAATGCGTATTTTAAATTTTTGACCTCAGGGCTAAGGACAGTGGCATTAAAAGTGGCTTAAACCAGAGGGTCTTTAGAGAAAGCGGAGTTGGCATTCGCAGGAAGAAAAATGTTAAACAATGATCTAAAAAGCAAATCAATGTTGCCTCACAGTAATTCCAGTGCACAAATGAAAAGGTGGTAATAAGGTGATCCCTTAGGGATTCTGCAGGAGAAAACTGGAACTTACACCTATAACAAAAAGTTTGGGGGTCCATAGGCTCTACTTATTTGTCTGGAGAATGCAAAAGAAGAAGGTGAAATTACTGCCTTTGATTAACTTGGTCAGAGTAGGCTGCCATTCATGAAAAGTTTATGCACATACATGCATGGTACCTGGGCTCTGTGGGTTCAAATCCCAGCTCTGCCACTTCTGAGCTGTGTGAGCATGCATGAGCAAGTGACCTGTCTCTCAGTCACAGTTACCTTATTTGTAAAATAGGCATAATATCTACATAGTTTGTGTGCTTGTGAAGATTATGGAACTTCATAAATGACCTAGCTCAGTCCCTGGCACATAGGAGGCTTCTCTAAATGGTAGTTATTATTCTTTTTTAACCAGTAGCATTAGCTAAATACGTAAGAAACAAAATATCAGTATAGCCAGAACTAAACATGAACTCCAGGAAAAGGAAGAGCAGTCCTCATCCTGTGATGACACTAGCCAGGCAATGCTCCTGGAAAGCGGTAAGCCACGGAGAAAGCCACGATGTAGACAGAGTGAGAAGGGAGCCATGTAGGTGAGGGAATCACACCAGCGAAAGCCCAGAGGTGGAACGAAGACTTCTGGTGCAAGAACTCGTTGAGTACTTGGGGAAGAGTAAGCGGGACTTGCACCTGTTGGATGTTTCTATTTCACACAAAGAGCAATAGACAGACTCGGCAGGGGAGCGGTGTGTGATGAAAATGTTAGGAAACGTTCTCTACGGTGGACTGGAGTGTGGCAATACCAGCACTGAAGAGCTAGTACTAAACATACAGTAATGAGAGTCTGACTCAGGGCAGCGAATATGAAAACAAAGATCGAATATGATCGTCTTTATAGCTGGAGAATTAGCTAACCAATCAGGAGAGGGAGAAACTCAAAGACAATTCCAAGGAATATAAGCCTGAGGAGCTGGAAAGGTCTCTGCATTGTCCCAGTTGGGAAACTGGGATGGGTTCCATTCTTGGATAAGTATGGGAGGGAGTGTTTAATTTCCTCTAGAAACCACATACAAGTGGGGATTTCCTACAGGCCTTTGGCGATAGAAAGTTTCAATGTTTGTTCAGAAAAGGAGAGAGATTACTGTCTATCTATATAAAAGCCTAAGCGACCGTCGCAACCAAAACAACTGAACGGATGACCAAACAGGGTGCGTGGGGTGACCAGGCTAGCAGGGGGGTTAGGGAAGGGCGACCAAACGACTGAGCAGCAGGCTGCGTGTGGCAACCAGGCCAGCAGGGGAGGGGCAGTTAGGGGGCGATCAGGTTGGCAGGCAGAGGTGGTTAGGGGTGATCAGGGTGGCCAGTTAGGGGCGATTAGGCAGGCAGGCAGGTGAGCAGTTAGGAGCCAGCAGTCCTGGATTGTGAGAGGGATGTCCGACTGCCAGTTTAGGCCCGATCCCCAGGAGTCAGGCATCCCCTAAGGGTTCCTGGATTGGAGAGGGTGCAGGCTGGGCTGAGGGGCCCCCCCCCTCCCCATGCACGAATTTCATGCACCAGGCCTCTAGTTAGAGAAATAAGTTTGGGCACACTTAGTATGCCAGTAGTAGTACAAAAGCTGAAGATGGATGGCAGTGATACTGATGAGAAAACAAGTGTAGAGAGAGCAAGGGGCTATAAAGACATAATGGAAGCCATCCAAGAAGACCCAACAAAATCAATGAAGTAGGGAGAACCAGGGAGAGTACGGGGGTGCCAGTTTTGAGTGGACATTGAGGCCATATGGGCAGCATCCAGACCCAGTGGAGCACACCTCTTATTCTCTCCAACAAGGTGGTATTTGGCCTCTGGTTCTCCTGCAAGTCCACAAAATATCTTTGCCCAACAAAGATTTATTAAGCACCAACCAAGTTTCAGTGTCTGTGTTAGGGACAGGGAAAATAATGGTGAGGTATAAATAGATACGGTTTCTGCCCTTAAGTCCCTCGTGGTAAGCTAGGAAACCAAAGCACAGTAGGGTCAGACATCAGGCCAGGCCAGAATAGGGGTGAGAGGGGCTCAGGAATGAGGGCAGGAAATTGGGCATCAGGCTAGGTCAGTGTCATCAGTTTCTTTGCTTCGTATGTGAATAAGGAAACAGGGAATCCATGTGAGAGGAATGTTAGAACTAACTTGCTGTGGTTAGAGCCATACTGTGATTAGAGTGAATAAGCCAGGGCTCTTTAGAACTAGCAGTTTGCCTAAGAATTTTCCACACAGCTGCATAGTTCATTCCTTCCAGTTTTTTTTGTTTTATGTGGAAGGATATGTCTTCCTGTCTTTCTTTAATGTCAATCTTAAAAGGAATGTACTCGGGGAATCTTAGGTACGTAGGTACCCTAAATAACCTAAAATAAATTTATACAAATGTATCCTAACCTTGTTTAACTGTCTATATTAATTCTTTGGGGTATTATATTCCATCTGATTTCTTTTCTTTCTTTTTTTAGAGAAGTACTTAAGTAAGTTCTTATATTGGTATTAAGATTATTATTACATGTTTCAAGGTGAACCTTCTCATTCTAATATTCTGGGTTCTGGTATGTAAGCCCATGTTTACCGTTTGGGATTTTGTAAAATCTGATCATTTATGGGAATAGTGAAGGTCAGGCTTTGTGGTCCAGCCAACTTTGAGGGGAAAGTTGAGGGTGTGTACAGGAAACAGATGGCCAGAACCAGAAGTGAAGGGCTGCCTAAAATCGTGGTTTTGATCTGAAGATAAAGGGCATGTAAGACCTTGGGCAAGTCCCTTTTCCTTTCACTTTAGACTTTGGCTTTCTCATCTGGAGTAGGAGTCAGCGTTTTCTTTGGGGGATTGGTGGTAATTTTTACTTTCCTTTTACTTTTGGAATTATCTAATTTTCTCTTACAATGATCATATATTACTCAAGTTAAAAACAAAACAATAAGGCAATTTTATATTTTGGAAAATGTGATTCTATGGTCCTACACATTTTGCCTAAGAAAACTTAACTTTCCTTTGGATTTAGGGAAATAAAGAAAGAACTCAACCCCAATCTGGAGTGGTGGGGTGGAGTAAATTACCAGAAGTAGAGTGGCCCCAAGGCTCGGAGCTGCAGGTTCATTTATTCACACACTCATTCAACAAATTTTTATTGGGCATCTACTCAGCTCCAAGTTCTATTTTGAGCACTGAGGACAGAGCAACAGAATGACAGAATTGGGAAGAGTGTGCATAATGCTTTTCAATCTTTATAAAACCAAGTGGTGATCAAGAAACTACATTTTTATATCTTCAAATATAATATGGTCCTGGCCAGTGTGGCTCAGTTGGTTGAGTGTCATCCTATATATTGAGAGGTTGCATGTTCCATTTCCAGTTAGGGTACATACCTGAGTTGTGGGCTTAGTCTCCTGTAGGGGGTGTGCAGGAGGTGGTGATGGATGTTCCTCTCTCCCCCTCACCCTTACTCTAAAATCAACAAAAACATATATATATGTGCTGTACCCCTGTAGACTGTGTGGGGGAAGAGAGGCTGTGATTTTCCATCTGTTACCCACAAAGGCTTTCCAAATAAAAATGCCTTGTTGTTTTAATTAGTTGTTATTGAGTTTGACTAGCAGGTGCAGTTCTACTTTGCAATGATAAATAATTTAAAACTTATACTCTCACCAGATGTTATAACCACAAATTAAAATAAGCCAGACTCTCATGTATGTGATTCCTCAGAAACAGATCTTCATGCCATGCTGGTTTTCATGTGCTTGGCAGTTGCTCACCGCATCATGGCTGCCCTCAAACTGGTGCTCACACACCTCATTCTGAGGGTTACAGTCCAGTCCATTTCAAATCATCCAGCTTTCCATAATCTAGACTGCAAACCTAGTTAATAAAACCATCTTCCCTTCTTTGTCCTGAGCCTTAGCCTGTGTATCTTTTTGCTGTTCGTCTTTCTGTCCTTCATTTGGCTCTCCCACTGAGTCCTTCAGATGAGGTCTTTAGATTGGTAGAACGTACTTCATTCGGTCATCAAAAATATATATGTGAATACCTACAAAGTACAAGATACTGTACTGACCCATAGCGATGAGTGGACAGTCCAGGCAATGTCCCAGTAGTCACCAAGCTCATATTCTAGGTGGATCAGAACTTTGAAGCAATGATTTTCAACCTTTTTCATCTCACGGCACACATTAACTAATTGCTAAAATTCTGTGGCCCA